GCCGCTGGCTCTGGGCTAGGCTTTGTGGGGGCCACACGGCTGCTGAGGCGGCGGGTTGAGGCTATTAGGGAGCCAGGGTGTCCAGACCTGGCTGTGGATAGTGGGTGAGTGGCCAGCACTATTCTGAGTCTGATTTCAGTGTTGGGTCCCCTGTCTGATGGGTGGCTGCCCTGGGGTGGGGGGTGGCTCTGGCCCAGCCCTAGGCTGTTCTTGATTCCCCTCTGCCCTGTAGCCTGTGTGGAGAGGAGCTACTTGTGAGCGGCAAGGAAGCAGGCAGTGTCACCTTGGGCCAGTACCTCTGGCAGCTGGCACATCACCGGAACTTCCTGTGGTTCGTGGGCATGGATCTGGTGCAGGTATGGGAGCAGTAACCCCTCCCAGGATGGCTGGAGTATGCCTTGCTCAAGGGAACAGACTTCTCAAAAGCTGATAAATCAGTTCTGGGCCTTGACTGATGACTACAGAGTGATTTGAAGGCAGAAACATGGGCCGGGTAGTTAGAAGACCTGGATTCTAGCACTGTCTGAGCTCCTAACTTTGTGTGATCTTAGGCAAAACTCAGCCTCTCTGGGCAGCCATGTCCTGCAAAGTGAGGATATGAAAAAGAGGCACCCTTCTGGGGACTCTCTGAAAAAAATATTTTTATTTATTTAAAATGTTTTTATTGACTTTTTAGAGAGAGAAAAGGAGAGAGAGATTGAAACATCGATGTGAGAGAGAAACATTAATCGGCTGCCTCCTGCATGCCCACCACTGGGGATCAAGCCCACAACCCAGGCATGTGCCCTGACTGGGAACCAAACCAGGACCTCTGTCCATGGGACGACACTCAATCCACTGAGCCACACTGGCTGGGCTGTGAAAATATTTTTAAAACACCAAGTGCCACTCCTAAAACACAGTTAGTATATAAACTAGCTAGTTTTTATGTCATTAAGCCTGTTTTACTAAAGTGTTTTCAATTAAAAAGAAAAATCCTTTAATTGTTTTAATGACAATTTAGCATTCCTTCCTTTAGCAAAATTAGATAAGCAATGGGAATTGGTTTTAGGTTTTGTTCTGGCATGTTCCATGTTGAGGGACATGGGGAAATGACTGCTCGTGCCCTGGCTCCCCTCCCACTCCAGCCACCTCCTCACTGCCCCTGTTGGGTTGCAGGTTTTTCACTGCCACTTCAACAGCAACTTCTTCCCCCTCTTCCTGGAGCACCTGTTGTCAGACCACATCTCCCTCTCCACGGGCTCCTTTCTGTTGGGTGAGTGGGTGTCTCAGGCAGGCTGGAAGGACAGAGGCTTGCACCCTAGAACTCCTAAGCCCAGCTGCAAACATAGCCACCTCCGCAGCGGGGGTCTCGGTGGCGGAGGGCAGAATCTGCTGTGGGGTTGCAGCTCTGGCCCCCAGCTCTGTTTTCCTGAGGAAGGGGTGGAAGCCTGTTGTGGGTATGACGGGGTAGGGCCTCTCATGGTGGTCCTCTTGGTGATGGTGTCACCCAGAGGCAATGCTGCACAGTGGCTGGTTAACAGCAAGGACTATAGTGTGCTGGACCTGGGTATGAGTCTTGACTGTGCTTATTTAGTTTGGCCTTGGGTGTGTTTTATTTCATCTCTTGGGGTCTCCATTTCTCATCTGTAAAGTAGGAATAATAATACTTACCTTAAAAGGCTGTGAGGATTAAATAATAGGATGCAGATTCGCTCTCAGCACAGAGACTGGCATAGCGCTATGCAAACTCTGATCCTGTTAAAATGTGGAAAACTGTGGAAGCTGCTGCAGTTGCACACTGACAAGGCTGCACCCCTTCTCCTCAGGCATCTCCTACGTGGCTCCCCATCTCAACAACCTCTACTTCCTGCCCCTGTGCCGGCGCTGGGGCGTCTACACTGTGGTGCGGGGGCTCTTCCTGCTTAAGCTGGGCCTGAGCCTGCTCATGCTTCTGGCTGGCCCCGACCGCCCTGGCCTGCTCTGCCTCTTCATTGCCAGGTATGCCCTGCCCCTCCACACCCCCACACCTCCGTCCCTCCCCTTCACTCTTGCCTGCTCTCTCTGCTGACAGCAACCGTGTCTTCACCGAGGGCACCTGTAAGCTATTGACCTTGGTGGTCACTGACCTGGTGGATGAGGACCTGGTGCTGAACCACCGCAAGCAGGCAGCCTCGGCGCTCCTCTTTGGCATGGTGGCCCTGGTGACCAAGCCAGGCCAAACCTTCGCCCCACTGCTGGGTACCTGGCTACTGTGCTTCTATACAGGTGAGGGTCCAGGGGCTGGCAGGGGGCTCTCAAGGCTCTGGGGGGCACAGCTTACCTGGCATACCAATAGACAAGTCTGGCTCTAGGTCCAGAGAGGGAGAAAATGGCAACTGGCTGACACAGGCTAGGTCTGGGCCACCCTGGGCTGCCACACCTCCTCTGCCTCTCCCCACATAAGTAGAAAAACTAGGTCTCTGATTCTGTTCTCTCAAGAGTTCATTAATTGGCCCTGGCCAGTTTGGCTCAGCGGTTAGAGCATCAGTCCACGGATCAGAGAAAGAGTTCATTACTTGATTCAACAAGTATGTATAAAGTACCATCTCTGTCAGGTGCTGCTTTGGACGCTAGGAAGGTAACAAGAAGACATACAAGGTGTTTGCCATCATGAAGCTTATATTCTGGTTGGGGAGGAGGGAATGTGGTGATGTACAGCAAAACAAAAAAGTAGCAGATAGGCAGATAAGTGCGATGGTAAAAACACAGCAGATCTTCAATAGATGTGATTTTGTTCCACATTGTTTCATTGGAATGTTGATGAAATACTGTAGGAACTTGTTTTTTCTTTTTTTGGGGGGGGGGGGGGCTGGGGGGAGACATGCCCCTAGCGGGAACCTCTGGTTCACAGGCCGATGCTGCAACGCTGAGCTAAACCAGCCAGGGCAGGAACTTAACTCTTGTATCAATTAGCCTATTATAAAATTGGTTTGTTATACCTTGTTTCACTTAAAGTCACAGACCTTATTGATGACATTGAGTGAGGATTTACTGTAATGTGACTGAAAAGTTACTTAGTGTAGTCTGCGAAGGTCTCTCTGAGGAGGTGACACCCAGGATGTGAACTGAATGGGAAGAATTTAGTCCACAAAGATCTCAGTGAATCCCAGACAGAGAAGCGACAAGTGCAAAAGCCCAAGGTATCAGGAGTGGTTAGATGAAGCTGGAAAAGTGATGAGGGCTCTGGAGAGTGGGGCAGGGTTTACATTTTATTCTCAGAGAAGCTATCAGAAGGGTTTTAAGCAGAGGGTGGCATGGTCTGGTTTATGATTTTAAGAGCTGGTTCTGGCTGCTGTATGGAGAATGGATTGTAGGAAGGCTGTGGCAGAGGCAACAGAGGCTTGGACCAGGGTGGTCCAGGCTGGAAACAAGTATTTGGGTTTGGGATGTGTTTCGGAATTTGGTAGAGGTGAAGGATTGGCTGTTGGAGAGTGCTAACCAAGGAATCTAGGAAGACTAATGTTTTCGGCCCATTGCTGGGAGTAAAGGATAGGAGAAAAGCAAGGTTGGGGCAAGAATCAAAAGTTGTTTTGGTTGTATATGCGTGGCATTTGAGATGTGGCCTTGGGAAGAGCCCAGGGCTGACTCTGTTCTTTCTGTACCCTCTCTTGTTGTAGGTCATGATCTCTTCCAGCAGCCCCTACTGACCCCTATGGGGAGTGCCCAACCCTGGCCAGAACCCCCGGCCCCACCCTCGATTCAAGCCCCATCACTCCGCCAGGGCTGCTTCTACCTGCTGGTGCTGGTGCCCATCACCTGTGCTCTGTTGCAACTGTTTACCTGGTCCAAGTTCACACTGCATGGGAGACGCCTGCGCATGGTAAAAGCCCAGCGCCAGAATCTGTCACAAGCCCAAACCCTGGACATTAAGACAGTGTGATAGGTGCAGCAAGGCCACCCTGATGAGGACAATGCCCACAACTCTGGGCAGGAGCCACTTTTGCCAGCCTGGTGTCTTGCTCCCCTGCCTCCCTTGAGTGCAGCCTGAAGGACAGATGGTAGAAAGGGAGCTCCTGGGTCTAATATCCTGCTTGGCTGTCTGGCACAGCTTGGGCAAGGGCTGGGCCAAATTTGCTCAGGGACCTGCTTCCCTGTATGGGACAGGAATAAGAAAAGGACCAAGAAGGGATGGGAATGCTGTGTGGTCACATGGGGTTGCCACAGGGCACAGAGGCCTATCCCACTCCTAGGCTGGGGCCTTCTTGTGTGCTCAGGAACCACTTTGATACTTTCATTCAGTCAGGGGAAGTTGACTGTAAATCCCACCCCCTCTCCACCCTTCCAGTGGTTTCTCTGCGTTCTTTGCTTCAGCTGTGCCTGAAGTAGCATGCCCCCAGTGTTGCAGGGCTTCTCCACCCCACCCCACCCCCGGCCTCCAAAGAGGTTCAGCTCATCACAAATGGATTAAAGTCATTGTTCCCATTCCTGAGGTCTGTGCTGTGTGGGGGGGAGGTGGGCTGGTGAATAAGATTCCTCATTTAGTATGAAAAGCACTTGGAACATTTTTCCAAAGATGAGTTGGGGGGCCACCCACGTCAGATTCACGGAGGTACCAGGGAGAACAAGGGGATCGGTAACTGCATGGGCACTTGGGAGCAAAAGGCTTTCAGACCTGTGGCTGTAGCCCCAGTGCACTTCCTTGTACCACTGCTGTGCATGGTGGTCAAGGAAGAGCAGTCACTCTTAGGCCAGAGGTCCTTGGAGACACCAGGAAGCTTTAAAAAATGGTGACATCTGCCCTGGCCGGTTTGGCTCAGTGGTTGGAGCGTCGGCCTGTGGTACAGAGAGACCCGGGTTCGGTTCCCGCTAAGGGCACGTGCCTCGGTTGCAGTTTGTCCCCGGCCCTGGTTGGTCGTGCGGGTGGCAGCCACTCGATGTGTCCCTTCACGTCGATGTTTCTCTCTCTCTCTCTCTCTCTCTCCCTCGCTCCCCCTCCTGCTCTATCTGAACAAAAAATGAAAAAATGTCCTTAGGTGAGGATTAAAAAAAAAAAAAGGTGACATCTGAGTTCTGTTCCCCAAGGTTCTGCTTCCATGTGTCTGGGGTACGACTTGGGCACTGGAGTTTTGAAAAGCTCTATGGTGATTTTACCTCTGCTCTAAGCCAGAGTTTCTCAGCCTTGGCACCCCTGGCTTCTGCTTAGATGACAATAGCAGCTCCTTCCTCCCCTGTTGTGACAACCAAATGTTTCCAGGCATTGGAAAATGTATACGGGGAGCAAAACTTTGAGAACTCCTGCTCTAGGCCAATGGTTTGTTGAGGGATCTGCATAGTGTCTAAGAACTTAGGCTCTAGGGCCACATTGCCTGCGTTCAAATCCTAGCTAATAAAGGGCAGAACTTTGGGAAATTACGTGCTCTCTCTGTGGCTCTATTTCCTCAACTCTAAAGTGGATAACAGAAATACACTGTGTAGGGTTGTTGGGCCAAATGGGTGAACACTTGTAAAGTGCCTGGCAATCTCCCTCCCCACCCAACCAAATATATAGGTTTAAAATGGAGAACTGATTAATCAGAATATCTGAGCATGGGCCCCAGGAAATTCATTTTAATAAGCTCTTGAGCTTCTTATACACATGAAATTTTTGAGAGCCTCTGACTTCAGGGATGTCAAATGCTGCTCCCTTCTTTTGGGTGGAATCTCACCCATGGGCTGGCACTTGCTCTAAGGCTGGCCTAGTCTGGCTGGTGCAACAGTGCCCTCTAGAGGATGGACTAGGCCCAGTCACCACCTCAGATTCAGGGCCCACAGCTCCTTCCTCTTCCCACCCAGCACTGACTACAGACAGAGGCCCAGCTACCGTGTCTATTGGAAGGACTTTATTTAAGTACACTGGGCCCCACCAGGCAACGTGGTTTGTGCGAGGCTGTGCGAGGGACAGGTTTGGGCTAAGAGAAGGGAGGTGAGCTGGTTAAGCACACTGTAGTCCGCGGGTTGCCACATCGCTTTCACACACACCTGCTGCTGTGGCCCACACTTAGCAGAGCCTTTGGTTGTTGGACGGCATGGGGGGAATACTGCCTGAATCTGGGATTGGGGCAGGTCTTGGTCAGGTGAGGGTGCCAGTGAACATTTGCTAGCCCCAGCTTTGTACCGTCTGGGCTGAAGGGTCTTTGGACCACTGCTAGGCCAGCCCAGTCCAGGGTAGGTGCCTGGCCCCACTGGACCAGAGATAAGCCTGAGCCCACCCGCTCCTGGCACCTGGATCTGGCCTCCACCCTCTCTCACTAAACAAGTCCAAAGTCAATAATGGCACAAAATCAGCTCAGAGGGGCCCTTCTCATCTCTACAACCTAGCGCCTCAGGTCAGCTAGAGTGGGAAAAGGCAATGTGGTTAATTGCGGCCCTTTCTCCAATCCCAAGGGAGCTAGATCCCCAACACCCCTCCTTTGCTAGGGCTTCTGCCAAAAAGTGATTCTACTGCCTGTTTCAGAAAATCCAACCAGCAACCAGCCTACTGATTCCAGGGCAGTGAGCAAGTAGAAGAGGGAGAAAGAAAGAGGCTGGTGGGAGTGACTTGGAGTGTAGCCTCAGATCCCAAATGGCCTCAACCTATGGATACTGTCAGTTCACCCTTAGCAGGGAGTGGTGGGACCCTAGAGGCTACGTTAAACTTAGGTGCTGTAAACATTAGTGTGAACAGGGTGACTGGTGGGCAGGAGGCAATGAGCTCCCTCTCTCCAGTTCCCATATTGAACAAACACTTCAATAAATAAAACTGTTTGAAGATGGCATTGCCCAAGGATGGATGAAAAGTAACAGAGCCTGGAGCCAACAGGTTCCTTAAACTCTCCTGAGACCCCCTGGATGGGGGATTGGGATTGGAACGTTAACTCTGCTGCCAATCAGAAGTAGCACTATTCCTGCCGTCCTCAAATGCCCAGTGTGGTTCTGGCCCCCAGGTAAAGTTAAGAACATCCTGCCCTCTCCTGACCCTGGAGTCTCAGTAACAGCCTTTCCAGCCTTCCAAACCCAAACTACAATCAAAACCAGACAGAGCTCAACCATGTGGCCTCAGTCCATGATCAAGAGGCATCAAAAACAGAATGATGAGCAAGGAAGGCAGCAGCTGCCTTGGGCCTCAGGGCACACTGGGGGTGGGGTAAGGACGAAGCTCTGCCAGTGTAGGATGGGCGGCAGCAAGGTCTCCCGGGGGTTAGATCTACCTCCCTCTGTGTCCCTATGGTAGTAAACACAGTTCCACACAGCCAGACAGAGGCCCAGCAGATGAAGGAGTGGGGCTCTCTGCCAGCATTCTTCCCTGTCAGGGGCCAGTTAGTGGTCAACCCCAGGCCTCAGGCTATCACCATCGTGGGTAGTTCATCGTCCTTTCTGGACCCTGGGATCCCTAGGCCACAGGGCACTCGCATAGGTGCACATACTTGTACCCACACACACACTCACACACACAGGCAGTTCCTTGCAAACACTCCAACTCAAGAAAGCGAGTTTTAAAGTGGAGTTAACTTCAGAGAAGGTGAATATGATGTCCCAGCATTAGAAGGTTTTCCTGTGGATGGATCGGGCACCGTCTTCCTCGTATTCCTTCTTGGAGACCCACATCTTCTTAAAGGTGTCCAGGGAGGCGAGGATAGAGCCCCTGGAGTAGAGGGAATCCAAAGGAACATTGTGAGAAAGAGAGCGTGGGGCTTCACTTTCTGTTCCACTCTCATTCCCAGAAGAACTACTCACCCAATCCACGTGGAATACAGTCTCTCCTGAGGTGCAGATATCTGCAAGGGTGAGTGGAAAGAGGAATCTGAGACATTTCATTTCCCCTCTCACTTCCCCTTCCAACTCTCCTCTTTATGACCAGTTCTCTCCACCCAAGGCAGTGGATGCATTTCACACAACAAAGTTATGTCCCTGCTGGACCCTGAGGCCTCTGGGGTGCTGTGGCTAGCCTGACACTCATCTTGAGAAGCAGGTTTCCAGCAACCCTAAGTACAATTTCCAGAAAGGCTGTATCTATCTGGGGGCAAGGTTTGGCTCTGTTGGGGGTCAGTGGGAAGCAGACCCCCATGGCAGGAACCATACTCCTTCACTTAGAATCCCTCCTTTTTCAGGCAGGCTAGCTCCCCTCAGCAGCCGCTAAGATGTATCAGAGGGTAGTAGCAAAAGTCAAGCTCCTATCAATGATATAGTTTACCTGAAAGACCACACGTGGGGCCCTCAGCCTAGCACCCTGCCACCACATCTGGGTACTAGAACTGTCCCCCTTTTGTGAAGATGGAATGGGAAAGGGTCTTCCACTCTGGCTGACCTCAGGGTCAGTGTGGAAGTGGGAGCCATCTGGCGGCACCTGTAGAGCCCTGGCTGCCTGAAAAGCTTGGGTAGAGCTGGAAAGGAGGCCACACCAGATGGCACTTCGGACCCTTGGAGGCCCAGTTCCACGCAGCCCTAGCCCACACCATGTTCCTACCCTGATCTTCACATCTTTCGGAGCCAGTTTCTTCACTTCACTCAGTAGCCTGTCACCAAAACCTGAATGGGCAGGAAAGGAGAATCTCAAATCAGTCCTCTGGCCATTTAGGCCTAGCAGGATCTGGAAGCTTCCTTGGGAAGGGCTCCAAGAGCAAGGACCAACCTTTGAACAGGGTGGAGCCTCCTGAGAGGACAATGTTAGAGAAAAGCGTGCGCCTCAGATCCATGTCAGACTTCTGGATGGCAAACACCAGCACCTCATGGATGCCTTCACTCTCCTCGCCAATCAGGTCTGGCCTGAACAGAAGCTCAGGTGCCCGGAATCGGGAAGGACCAATCTGCAGGGTGGAGGGCAAGCTTCAGAGGATGGGGCTGGGGCCGAGGTTCCTTTGGGAATAGGGATGGAAACGATCCCTGTGCCCACCTCTTAGTAACCAGGTGGCTTAGGAAAGACCTCAGATGTCAAGGGCCTCCAGGAACAAAGATAGGGCTCCTGGGAACAAATAGGGAACAAAAAGAAACAGGGCTCCCAGGAAACGAAAGGAAGAGCCTATGCTTAATCTTAGCTCTGGCATTTCCCAGCCAAGAGACCTCTAGCATTAATACATGGATTCATTCATCATGGAAACCTCTTTCTATCAATGGAGGTCTGGGGAAAGGCAACTCAGCCTATGCTGTGCTCAAGTGGTTAAGGACAGCACTAACCACCCCCCTTCCCAACCCTATCCTGACCTAGGAACATGCCTCTGGTGACCCCTTTCCTCCATACAAGAGAAGCAAAATCCCTGGCACACCTCACTGGGCAGGAGAAGGTGCTGCTTAAGAGCTCTACTGCCCCAGGCAGGGACTGGGAAAGGACTGGTACATCTGACTCCAGCCTTCCCATGGGGAGTTGTTTGGGCCCAGAGCTTCTGGGGGCTTGAGGGCACTGAGGGGAACAGTCCAGTCACCTACCTCAATGGTGCTGCCATCGGGCAGGTAGTACTGAGCCTTCTCCGTCTCTAGTGTCTCGTCCTTCTGGGGGTTTATAGATAGGTAGCAGGCTCTCTGCAGAACCAAGCATGAGTCAGGCAAGTAGGACACCTGGCACCTACCAGGTCAAAGTCCCCCAGAAACCTGCCCATCCCATGACTGCCCTAATGGTCGTTAGAGCTGCTGCCCTAAAGCAGGAGCGGGAGATTTCTGTCGGCATTCACTGGCTGGCATTTAGGATATGAGTTCCCACCTATTCCACTTTCCTGGTGGGCAAGTGTGTTAACGTGGCTCTCTGGATCTGAGACCACAAACTAATTTTAGTCCAGGCTCAGGCATCTTTCTTCTGCTCATATGGTTCTGGGTCCCACTACCTACTCAGAGGTTACCCTACTGCCACAGGTGACAGGAGGATTCAGTTTACTTAGAAAGAAAAATGTATTTTGAATTCCTCAAGGATGTGAAAGAACATATGCAATTTGTACATAAGGTATGAAAAACCTAATGATCACTAGTGTACCCATCACTCAGCTTAAGAAATAGAAACAGTTCCCTTTCCCCTACAAGAAGGTAGCTCTTTGGGAAGGTGAGTCTGTTAGTGGGAGGGGGCCCAGCTGGAGATCTTACAGCTGCCAGGATGCCTGACCCAGACTCCTAGGACAGGAGCTTCACCTCTTTTCACTCTAGGTCATGGAGGTCCTCGATGCTCTGTTCCCATACCCTATCCCATCCCTGGGCCCAGGGGACAGCACTCACTTCTTTTATGGCCTTGACAATCTCAAACTCCGAGGATGAGTGGAAATCATAGCCCTCCTTACGCAGGTAGAGGCGAAGGAAGCGAGAGACATCTCGGCCAGCGATGTCGATGCGCATGATTGAGTGAGGCATGGCAAAGCCCTCATAAATGGGCACAGCATGGGTGACGCCATCCCCAGAATCCAGAACCACACCTGTGGTCCTGCCTGTGGCATAACTGAAACAAAGGGGGCAAACCATCACTAACCCCTGCCTCCTCACTCTAGGAAAAAACTCACTTCCTTTAGAGTTCAGTGTCAAAATTAAAGCTGGGGCCTGCTTTTCTTCAGGGGCCTGAGACTAGACTGAGTACTAAGGACACCTAAGCACGGAAGCAAGCCTCGAAAAATCTGAATGACAAGCGCTGAACCTCTCCAAGCTCCCTTCCCACTCCCAAAAAAGCAGGCCTTCCCATCTCAAGAGATGGCCTGGACTAAAACCATTTCAAGGACCCAGCCTGAGAGGCAGTTTTCACTCTCTAGACAAGAGGAAAAAACTCAAATGCCTACAGGGACTAGGCAGGAAAAGTAAATGAGTAAGGAAAATAAGAATATTTTCACTTCCACAAAAAAACTAGTTTTCCCCCATATGACTCTCTAGGTCTAGTTTTTTCTCTTTTGGTAGAGACAAGGGGAAAGACATACATTTCTGTGGTATGAGGAGAAATACCTCACAATGTTTGATGAATAGCAACTGACACTCTGCATTTGTGTTCGGAGGACAAGGACTGGTGTGAATGGTGGTGAAATGAAGCTAGCAAACTCTAAAATGGCAGCTTATTTGAGCTGGTACTTTGCCCTATAGGAATGCCAAAGGACTGCTTTCCCCTCGAGGGGCCAGGCTAGCCAGCCAGGCTGCTACTCACAGGCTGAGCACAGCTTGCATGGAGATGAAAAGGGCTGGCACATTGAAGGTCTCAAAGAAAACTTCAGCAGCTCGTTCTCGGTTTTTCCGTGGGTTTAAAGGAGCCTCTGTCAGGAGCACAGGATGCTGGTGAAAAATGCCCAGACAGCAATCAGGGTGAGGCCAGATTCCCACCCCTCATTAGCACTGGGGGAGAAGCCTGTGTGTGGCTGGCCAGGGGACATTCATGGTTGGTCTCCCTCCAAAAAAGGCAAGCTGAGTCTATCACCCCTGCCTGAGTCAGTTTCTTAACTTTCCAAAATCATGCCCCTTTTAAAGTTTCATTCTGTCCTTACCGCCACCCCTTTATTCCCCTCATTTTCTTCTAACATTTTTATATAGATCTCTATATGTACTACATATCTCCAATTGTCAAGATTTTGTAATAAAGTCTTAGAATTATTATGATAATAATAGTTTAAAATTTTTTTCAAAACAGAAAATTAAATTCCAATATTGAATGTACTTTTAAAAACTAGAACAGCCCTGGCCGGTTTGGCTCAGCAGTTAGAGCATCGGCCTGCGGTCCAGAGACCTGGGTTCGGTTCCCGCTAATGGCACGTACCTCGATTGCAGTTTGTCCCCAGCCCTGGTTGGGTCGTGCAGGTGGCAACCACTCAATGTGTCCCTTTTACGTTGATGTTTCTCTCTCTTCCTCTCCCTCCCTCCCACTCTATATGAACAAAAAACGAAAAAATGTCCTCGGGTGAGGATAAAAACAAACAAACAAAAAAAAACTAGAACATATCCCTTCCGTGGAAATTCTGATACACCTAGTGTGCACGTTCCTTGGTGTTTCTGAGTGGAGAGTTCTCCTTAGAAGTTAAAGAGCATAGGCTCTGAAGTCTGAAAGATGTAGGTTTGAATCCCAGCTTTACTTTATTCACTAAGTGATCTTGGAAACACTACTTGGCTTCTTTGAACTTGTTCCCTTGTTTGTAAACTAAGGATAATACTACTTACATCTCATAGAAACGGTGTGAAGATTAAATGCAAACATGTCTAAAAAGCACAAGGTGTGGTGCCTGGCACACAGTTATGACTCAGATACTCTTGGCAGTTATTGTCATCTTCCTCATCTCTGGGGTAGGGGTTCTGACCAGCTCTGCACACCACGCAGGGCTGCCCTGTACACAAGACTCTCACCTCCTCTGAGAAAGTCTGCAGCTGGTCCTTAGAATAGACATATTGCCAGATGCGCTCCATGTCGTTCCAGTCCTTGACAATGCCATGCTCCATAGGGTACCGGATGGAGAGCAGCCCTCGGTGCTCCTGGGGGCAGAGAGCAGGACTTACAGCAGCAGCCAGTCTCTCAGCTGAGCTGACTGGTGGACCCTGCTCTTCCAGGACTGGGAGTTCTCACCTCACAGTCCTTACCCAGGGCTAAGGGTGGGCACCCATTCATTCTCAAAGTCTCCCATTATGCATCTGCAAACTGCTCTCACTGCCTAATCAGCGGGCAAAGTAGAAGGCTTCTGCATTTCCATGGGCCATTAGGTGCCCTTAGGGCAAGTGACAGGAGATACCCTCTTCACTGTCTAATCCCAGGACATAATCTCCTGGCTCCCATCTCTGGGCCTCAGCACTTGGAGCCAAGGCTGGCAACTATGATTCTGTTGTTCTGCTTCCAGAGGCTGCCTGAGGGCTCTGCCAAACTGTGCTAATTAACTCATCCCCAGAGTACCCCAGCCAGGACCTATCCCCAATCCCTTTTGCCAAAAAATGACCAAGCCAGTCAATTTGATCATTGGCACTGTAGTGACAGAATACAAAAGGAAGGAAGGCAGAGCCCTGTTTCCTAGACTGCTCTCTGTTCCCCAAATTAGGGTTTGATATTTTCTTTCCAAAACCAGAGCTGTTCCTGGCAGAAATACACTGATGAGGCCTAGGATGAAAAAAACAAAGGAGAGATTTTATACATGGCTATGTCCCACTGCTGGGACACTGTCCAAGTGGGGACTAAAGAAGGTCCTCTGTTGGCTTGAGGACTGAGAATTACCTCAGCTTTGGGGCCAATGAAGATGTCACCTTCGAGGGCTCCTGCCATGACACGGACGTGCTTGGGTCTGCCCACACTACAAAAGAGAGTGGGGAGGACCATCACTTTTCATTTCACCAGAACGCAGAGCAGAACACAGGAAGGATGTATAGAGGCACATACTTAGGAAGAAATATATTCAATCCTACTGTGATTATCTTTAAGGAGTGAGGTTACAGTTGATTTTGATTTTTGTTTTTTTTCCTTTTCTGCACTTCCCACAATTTCTACATTGACAATGTATTAAGTTATTCGTATATTATTATTATATTTATATTCTTTTATAAGTTATTAAAACAAATTTTAGAGGATTCAATACCTCTAGTTCTTCTAGTTCCTCGATGTATGTGCAGACCAAGAGAGACAAGGAAACAACAATTTCTAAATGAATGGTTAACTCAAAAGATTTAGTCTCCTTAGCCCCCTGTCCAGGCCTTCTACTAAGTAAAACTGTGCTGTTGTAACAGTAACAGATGGCCTTCTTTCTTTCTTTATTTTTTTAATCCTTACCCAAGGATATGTTTTATTTTTTGAGAGAGAGAGAGAAACACTGATGTGAGAGATATCGATCAGTTGCCTCCCAAATGCACCTGGACCGGGGATGGAACATATAAGCTTTTGGTGCATGGGTCGACACTCTAGACCACCAAGCTACCTGGCTAGGGCAGATGGCCTTCTTCTCTCTTTTTCTCCTGCTCTAAGCTCCTTTCCCAGGCACCCATGCCCTTCTACTGCCTCCAGTCTCTTTGCCTTAGGAGGAAAGTGCTGAGAACTCATCTTCACTAAGATGGTAGGTATGGTTTAATGGTTAAACCCCATCTTGGGAGATAGGTGATTTTTTAGAAAGAGCGCTTCATGAAGAGGCAGTCACTCAAAGCAATGAGTTACTGATGAGAACATTTTTGGCATCAGATAAAATAAAATTTTAAAAAGGGGTCTCTTGCCCTGGCTGGTTTGGCTCAGCAGTTAGAATGTTGGCCCACGGACCAGAGAGACCCCGGTTTGATTCCCGCTAAGGGCACATACCTCAGTTGCAGTTTGTCCCGGCCCCAGTTGGGGTTGTATGGGTGGTGACCACTTGATGTGTCTCTCTCACATTGATGTCTCTCTCTCTCTCTTCCTCCCTCTCTCCTTCCCAATCTCAAGATAAATGTAAAAATGTCCCCAGGAGAGGATAAAAAAAAAGAGGTCTCTTGCCAATGCCTATCAAATTGTACCATGTAGGCAATTGTTTCCAAAAGCCAGCTCCTGTCTTTTGCTTATTGTTTTGATACAAGGCTGACCTGAATGACAGATCCCTTCTCCCTAAAAGATGGAGGACTGAGCCAGTAACAAAGCAAACAAGCTTCTCAAGTTTCTGACGAAGCTACAGAATAACTTACTAGTTTGGAAAGCAGTATTTGGGGATCTGATCACCAGCAAAACCAGCTTTAATCACACCAGATCCCTGAGGAGAGAGGAGAGAAAAGTTAGGAATATCACAAAAATAAGAGGAGATTATATCATACAATATGTATATGGTTCCATTTTTATTTAAAAAGAGAGAGACTTTATAGTTGCATGTAATATATTTATTTATATAAGCACTTGTATGGTGAATTCATGCCACAGGGAAGGAAGTGGGACTGAGAAGGGTGAGAACTTTCACTGTATACTTAAACTATTATTTGATTTTTCTGTGTTCTCTGACTTTTCTACATTGAACATGTTTTACTTTTGGCATTCTAAATAATACTAATAGCTTTTTGGCGGCCGTGAAGCTGGGGAGATCCTGGCCGGGCCCAGAACATCAGATCTCACTGTCCTCCCAGCACTTCGACCCTCCTCTAAAGGCCCTCAATTAAATGGTTTGACACATCCCCTCACCAAAATATTAACAAAGAGAAAACCTGAGGAGAAAAGAGTAAAGTTGCTAGAAGCACCAAAGCAGCCAAGTTCAAGAACACAAACAAGGTGGGAAGAGTGCATGATTCTTTCAGTTATACCACCATGGGACATCTGCCCAGGAACACACACTATCTTCTTACTGTAGGAGCAGACACTCTGCTTTGTAGGGGGTTTGTGGTTATTGTTTTGTTTTTTTTCTATTATGTTTTGTTTAACTCATAGGTCTCCTGATGACAAGGATCAGGGAAACCCTAAAGCATTGTCTGAGAAGAGAAGAGACCCAACATTACAACCCTGCTGCTCCAATACTTGGTATGTTGGGTGGGGCTCCCACCAGCATCTCTGATACCACCCTGGGCCCAACCAAAGTAAACACGGACTCTATACACAGATACTAACTCCATGCAGGGCAGCTATTGAAGAAGATAAAACCTGTTCTCTTCCTTCTTAACCCTTTTGCCACCACTGCTGATACCCTCGTCCGTCCAGCCCACCACAGTTTACAGCTAATTGGGGCAAACCTTTTCCTACTGCCTGCCAACCACTTCTCCTGGGGCAGAGTGTGATATTTCCAGAACCCCCATAGCAAGCTGTAAACATATTAGGAGACACTAAATACCATGATTATCTTTGCACCAAAGGCTTCCCAGCAACACCCCTGGTTCCTTCCCTGTGTCTTATTCCTGCTCTTGTATGGGAAAAGGGGTTGAGATGAGCCATCCTGGTGCCTGGCTCTGGCAACACAGGAAGGAAGGAAGAAGTGGTTAGCCTGGCTGGTGTGGCTCAATGGTTAAGCGTCGACCCATTCACCAAGAGATTGCCAGTTCGATTCCTAGTCAAGGCACATGCCCAGGTGGTGGGCCCAATCCCCAGTGGGGCAAGCAGAAGGCAGCCAATTGATGTTCTCTCTCATTGATGTTTCTATCTCTCTCTCTCTCTAAAATCAATAAAGAAAATAAAAATAAAATAAAAAAAAGAAGTGGTTGAAGGACAGGGAAAGCAGTAAGTTGAGCAGGGCAAACCAGTTCTCTAAGACAGCAGGAACCTCTGCCAACAGAAAAGAGAAAACGGGAGATAAGTGCAAACTCACTGGCCTGCACAGAAAAGCAAGAAGCCTGGAAAAGGTGCAGCTATACACTGAGCTGAAAGACTGGGAAGGAGGAAGAATTATCGTACTGCAAACACAGGGCTCTGGGACAGCGGCATGGATAGTGAGAACAGCACTGTACAAGAGAACTCCGGGAGCCTGTAAGCTCAAGCTTCCTATAATTGCTCATTGCCTTCATCTGGGTGATACCAACAGACTCGTTGGATCTCCTGGCACAAGTTGAAAACAAGAAGAGTAAAGATGAGACTTGTACTTCAGACTCTAAATATTTTCTTGGATATTTGATTGAGTTTACTAGCAAAATGACTAGAGGCTGAGTGACAAGGCAGATTAAGATGTTAGGTTCATTTCTACCTCTCTGTCCTTTCTAGCAAGACTATCAGTTCAAATTCACTGCCTTCCTTCTGAAGAACAGTTTCTAGGTAGAATTAATTATTCTCCTCCTATTATCTCACAAAATCACCATTACCTGTATGACTAGGTAGATGCATTTCATTCTGCTCTCTATTTGACTTTATGCTTCCCATTTTTGTCTCTTTTTAGCCCAAGTTCCTCAAGGTCAGAGCCTTTACATATCAGCAGTATCTGGCATGTGCAGGGTACTCAAACAGATGCTGGCTGACTGAAATGAAAATAAAGCTCAAATGATTGGCAGATAATGTCTAATATATGAAACCTGAATGAGCAACTAGAATGCCAGAGGCCCCAGGCAGAGGTGGTGCAGGAAAGGCCAAGGCGGTGTTGGAAATGATGCACAAGACCCAGGAACCAGACCCAGCTTGTCCTTGAAGCCTCATGGGTTGGCCCGCTAGGTCAGCAGTTGGGAGAAGAATGGGTGGGGATGAGGAAGGTGTTTTCCTTCTTCTGTGTTGCCAGAGTCAGGCACCAGGATGGCCCATCTCTTTATTACCTATAAAAAGGTAATGTCAATTTCTCTTAACAGTATTTATAACTAGAAACTGTACACCTGGCAAATGGGCTGCCACTCTCTCTGTTATTCACTGTGGCAAAACCAAGTAAACAAATGCCTTGTAGAGGCTTCTTGAAAAAGTAGTCTCATTAAATATTTGATTTTTGAGGACTCAGATCTGTTGCCAGCCACTTCTGACCATTCATTCTCCTTCTGCTGCAAGCAAACAAATAGTAAATCCCTTAGCAAGGCTCCCACTACCTGCTGGTTCTTGGCCTTATGGCTTGGGCAACTTTTATCCTAAGCTCTCCTGATTATTCTGGACATGCTGGGAAGATGCTAATTGTCTCCCATTTTACAAGTGGGAAAAGGATGTTGAGAGGTGGACCCTCAGATTCTAGGATATTGGTGGCCCAATATGGCCCAAAAACATATTATATTTAGCCTACAAAGTACTTAAAAAAAAACAAAAAAACTTTATTGAGATAAAATTCAATTTACCCATTTAAGGTGTATAAATCAGTGGTTCTCAGTATATTTACAGAGTTGTACAATCATCACCACAATCTAATTTTAGAATTTTTCATTATCCCCAAAAGAAACTCTGTACCCATTAGCAGTCACTCTCCATCCTACCCACTACTCCCAGCCCTGGGCAACCACTAATATACTTTCTGTATCTCTAGACCACAAACTACTTTTACATTAACTTCTGTCAGTTAAAAATTGAAAACTCAGCCCTGGCCGGTTTGGCTCAGCGGTTAGAGCTTCGGCCTGCGGTCCTGAGAGACCCGGGTTCGGTTCCCGCTAAGGGCACGTACCTCGGTTGCAGTTTGTCCCCGGCCCTGGTCGGTCGTGTGGGTGGCAGCCACTCGATGTGTTCCTTTCACGTCGATGCTTCTCTCTCTCTCTCTGTTCCTCTCTCTTCCTCCCACTCTACCTGAACAAAAAAATGGGAAAATGTCCTCGGGTGAGGATAAAAAAAAAAAAAAAAATTGAAAACTCATATGACATTTAAAATTTCGATTTCTCGCCCTGGCCCGTTTTTCTCAGTGGTTAGAGTGTTGGCCTATGGTCCAGAGAGACCTGGGTTCGGTTCCCACTAAGGGCACGTACCTCGGTTGCAGTTTGTCCCCGGCCCTGGTTGGGTTGTGTGGGTGGCAACCACTCGATGTGTCTCTCTCATGTCAATGTTTCTCTCTCTCTCTCTTCCTCCCACTCTATCTGAACAAAAAAATGAAAAAATGTCCTCAGGTGAGGATAAAATAATAAATAAAATAAAATTTCAATTTCTCTTGAAAAAATCAGATCTGGCAACACTGGGCCTGCATTCCTGAAAATATGGCAAGTATAAACATTTATTAAATATGGGTGGTAGACACATGCTATGTGGGTGTTCATTATGTACTTCTCTGAATTTTTCTTTATGTTTAATGTCTCTCATTTTTTAAAAAGGGGGCTGAAGCAGCATAACATTCTCCAAACCAGTGAAACTCATGTTATTGATGAATTTGTAAAGATCTGATACTGCTCCTGCATTTAGGCCCCCATAGTCACAAAGACAGTTTTAAGATTGACCAGAAAGTTGATCTATTTCAGGACAGAATTTAACCTTGAAGATCTTAGCAAAGACTCAAGCTTTGGAATAAACACAATAATCTCATAAAAGTGTTTTAGACCTCAAAATGTTGCCTGGGACCTGCCCCCCTCTTGTATTACTATTGTATTTATTACATTGCATTGTATTGTGTTGCACTGTATGCTTTTTGAAAGAATAACTTATGTTTGGATTTTATTTTATTAAAAAATATTTTTTTCTTAACTGATTGTATTTTTTTATTTTTCTTTAAAACCCAAGCACCTATTCATTTAAGCTTAATATCATATGTTGATTTTATTAAATAAGACCTTACATTTCATAGTTATAGCAGTTTATAAATACAGGGCTACTATTTCATTGATTCCCTTTATTTATCAATCATGTTTTTAGTACTTTATGTACAAGGTTTATACTAGATGCTGGGAGAAAAAAATATTTTTTTCTTTATTGATTTTAGAGAGAGAAGAAGGGAGAGGGAGAGAGAGATAGAAACATCAATGAGAGAGAACATCGACTGGCCACCTCCTGCATGCCCCCTCACTGGGGATTTGGCCTACAACCTGGTCATGTGCCCCAACCGGGAATCAGATGGGTAACCTCCTGGCATGGGTCGACACTCAACCACTGAGCCACACCAGGCGGGCTTATGTTTGATTTTTAAAAATATCTATGCCCTTGCCAGTTTGACTCATCAGTTAGAGTGTTGGCCTGTGGTCCAGAGAGACCCGGGTTCGGTTCCCGCTAAGGGTATGTACTTCGGTTGCAGTTTGTCCCTAGCCATGGCTGAGTTATGCGGGTGGCAGCACTCGATATGTCCCTTTCACATCGATGTTTCTCTCTCTCTTCCTCTCTCTCCCTCCCGCTCTATCTGAATAAAAAACAAAAAAAAGGGAAAAATGTCCTCTGGTGAGGAAAAAAAAAATCTATCACACTGAACAGAATAGGTCCAGAGGCAGGGAGGCATAGAACAGAGTGATATATCTCGAAGGGATTGGGGGGTGGGGGGGTGACAGGAAGAGATTAACCAAAGAACTTATATAGATATATGCATAACCAATGGACACAGACAATAGTGTGGTGAAGGACTTGGGTGGGGGCAGGGGCTAGGAGGGGGGATAAAGGGGGGATAATTGGAGGACATCTGCAATACTGTCAACAATAAAATAAAATAAATTATAAAGTACTTGAGATATACTAATGAAAGAATGAAGAAAGAAAAACCCAATCCTTGATCTTGGGGGTACTTATACTTTAGTAGAAGATAGATAATAAAGTATATACATAATAAAAAAAAAATACCACCCTGGATGGTTTAGCTCAGTGGTTAGAGCATCGGTCTGTAGACCAATGATTTGTGGGTTCGATTCTGGTCAAGGGCACATACCTCAGTTGCGGTTTGTTCCCGGCCCTTGTCAGGTCGTGTGGGAGGCAACCAGTCGATGTGTCTCTCTCCCACTGTATCTGATGATAAACAGAAAAATATCCTCAGGTGAGGATTAAAAATAAATAAATTAATTAAATAAACCTACCAAAAAAAATATCTACCACTTATTGTTGTCATTAAAGTACAGGCATATGCAGGCATGAGCCCACACACAACCTCCACACGCGTACCCCTCCATTTTCCTCATTAAATTCTGATGAATTGGTTTGGTGCCAGAATAGGATGAAAAGAGTGGTCAACAATTGTCTTAATACTGGGTAAGGCTGTGAACCAATGATAAAGCTCTGTCCTCTTTTCCCTACTTTGTTTTCCTTTCTTTTAATTACCCTCTTCTTAGCCCAGAAATAAAATTGTAGCAACACTATAAGTTATGGAGCTGTTAGTCTGCTAGAAACACATTATTTTCATAAAGATGGCTAACATATTTCTTTATAATTTTTTTACAGTGAGAGGAAGAGAGAGATCGAAACATTAATGAGAGAGAACATCGATTGGCCTCCTCCGGCATGCCCCCCACTGGGGATCAAGTCCACAATCTGGGCACTTGCCCTGAATGGGAATCAAACGGCAACCTCTTGGTGCATCAACTGACGCTCAACCACTGAGCCACACCAGCCAAACTTGGCTCACATATTTCAAATGATGTTTCTTACCCATGTTTCACTGTAAAACAAAACTCTCCAAATGTCAAACAGCGAGAACTCTCTTAGGCCCCAAATCTAAAATGTGGCAGATGTTCTGTAAATCCTAATGGGAAAATTAAGTTTCTCCTACTTCACCTTTTGGCAGAATTATTGGCATAACAAAGGAAATGTTTTCCCAGAGAAAAAAACAAGTCAATTCTTTAAATCTTAAAACTGAAAATGCACCACTGCTTTGATGCATTTCAAATATACTACCAAGAAAGAGAAAGGAAAAACTAAGAAGCATTATTAGCTTTAGTGACATTAAAGAAAAAGCTTGGTGATGGGACTTCTGCCCAACAATCCAAGAAGCAAAGGATCCGGTGGGATGGACAGAGTGCATCTTCTACATTGGTGATGAAAAAAAGAAAATTGATAATTCCTATTATTTTTTTCTATTTTAAAACTATGAGAAAGGCAGATGAAGCACACACAAACTGGCCAAAGACAGAAATAGTAGTGTTTTCTGAAAACCAACATCAAGAACAAGGAGTCCTACTCAACCCTCTGAAGTAACTAACTAGGGGTCCTCCATCCTTTCTTTATTTAGAAATATCTTTGTTACTATGATAGAGATATCCAGTCATTCATCCACCCACCCATCAATGCAATGAAAAAACAGTTATTGAGTACTAAGTAGTGCCAAGCCCTAGGGATTGTGTGAGAGAAGGAAAACTAACAACAACAAAACACCTTTCCTTGAAAAAAAGTGAGGAATTTGGAACTCAATCTTAATTTTATTCTCGGCTCAACTCAGAACCTGGTGGTCTGAATATTGTTATTTAACCTCTCCAGGCCTCATTTTCCTGCATAAACTGGGGATAGTCATTCCCATATACTTGCCAGAGCAGAAGCTTGAATGAGATAATGCAAATGAAAGGACCTTCTAACATGACTAAATCCCCAAGGGCTGGATTAACAGAGCGATTTTACAGTCAGTTTAGGACAGAAGGAATTAGCAGTTTTGCCTCAGGGGACACAGAAAAGGTGCCACTCAGTCTCGGTGAGGCTAAACCTTCCAGTGGAATACAGAAATGCAGTTGTTTTACAATTGTCCCTTTCTGCCCAAAATGAGAGCAGTGTTTAGATTACATATGTCACTATACATTTTTGTGGGATACTAGCAAGAGGAATAATGGATAAAGCACTAGACTTAGAGAACCTCTACTGTGCGACCTTGGGCTCACTTTACCTCTTCGCGTTTCAGTTTTCTTATTTATAAAACGAGAATTAAACTCCCTGCCTTAACCATTCACCGTTTTTGTGAGGATCACACTCGAACGCAAGTGAAACCCCTGAATAAGCGCTAGAGAGCCTGGGAAATACTATGTTATTATTTTCACCAGCAACTACGTTGCTTGCTTTGTCACTCCTTTAGTCTCAACTTTTATTAACGCTGTAATTTAGAATCACAGAAATAAATGAAATCCTATGGTCATTTCCGGTACCAGACTCTCGGGCCCCACCCAAAGGCACAGCCAAGTCGCCCGGCCGGCTCCCGACCAGCTCCCGACCGAAGGAAACTTAGCCCTTCTCCAACCGCGGGCGGGCTCTAGCCCATCAGGCCCTCACCACTGACAGTTCCGGAAGCCAATCCCCACTGCCCTCGTGAACCGCCCCGCCCCTTAGAGAGGAGAAAGACTAAGGCGGCCGGGAAGAACTGCAAAGGCGCAAGCCAATCACTGCAGAAGGCAGCCCTCATCCGGCAAGGCTCAGAGGCGGGCCATCGGTCAAGATAGACAGCCAAAGCAGCCACTAGAGTTATCGGAAACTGGGGAGGGAGGGTGCCGGGAGCTCACAGAGCGGTTAAGGCCCCTCGAGCCACGGGCCCAAGGACCCCACTCGGACTATAAAGTCTTCCCCTTATTCACTCCAAAGCTCTCCATCCCATAATTGCTGGCCGGCCGGCCACCCTGCCTGCGGATTATAGGGGAGAGGGGGTAGGACGGAGGCAGCGGCGGCTGAACCCGCCTGACAGGCCGGGCCACTGACAAAGAGTCTGCGATCCAGGCTGCAACCGGGAAGCGATCCCTTCGGGGAGGAGAGCGTCAGTCCCTCCAGAGATAGGAAAGATGCAACTCACATTGTCGATCACAACAGGCTGGTTGGCGATCACATCGTAGGACTCCATGGCAGAGGAATCTCTCCCTCCGAGGAAGGAACTGCCTGCCGGGTCCGCTGCTAAAGCCACTGACACGCATGCGCAGATTAGTCGCCGGTGCAGGGCGACCAGGGAGCGGCCTGGCCTCACCTCTGAGGAACTACAACCCCCAGCATGCCTTGCACCTGTAATTAGAAGTCCTGGCTGTTTCCGAGCCACGCCTAGTTTTAAGAGACTGGGCGTCGCTTTCCCCAGGCACAGTACCCTGGGTTTTGTAGTCTCCGTAGATAAATAGAGGAGGACGAAGATTTTTTTTTTCCCCTTTTAATTTATTGAGGTGACAAAAGTATACAGGTTTCCGATGTACAATTCTACAACACATCATCTGTACACTGTATTGTGTATTCACCACTCCAAGTCATTTATCCCTATACCATCCTCCACAAACCCGCCCCCAGCAATCACCACAGTGTTGTCTGTGTCCATGAGTTTTTTTCCTTTTTTGCTCAATCCTTCCACTCACCCTTGCCACCCCCAGCTGTTAGCCTGCTCTCTATCTGAATCTGTCTCTATTTTGCTTGTTAGTTCATTTCATTCATTAGACTCCACATATGAGTAAAATCATATGGTACTTGTCTTTCTCTGACTGGCTTATTTCACTTAGCATAACACTCTTGAAGTCCACCCATGCTATCACAAACAATAAGATTTCCTTTTCTCTTTTTAAAAATAAGTTATTTTATTATTATTTTTTTTTAGCATCACCCTAGGATATTTTTCCATTGATTTTTCACATAGAGTGGAAGAGAGGGAGGGAGAGAGAACATCCGTGTGAGAGAAACACATTGATTGGTTGCCTCCTGCATGACCCCAATCGGAGCTGGGGATCAAAACTGCAACCCACACCTGGCTGGTGTGGCTCATTGGTTGAGCATCCACCCATGCACCAAGAGGTCGCCAGTTTGATTACCAGTCAGGGCACATGCCTAGATTGTGGGCCAAATCCCCAGTATGGGGCATGCAGGTGGTGGCCGATCGATGTTCTCTCTCACTGATGTTTCTATCTCTCTCTCCCTCTCCCTTCCTCTCTCTCTCTAAAATCAATAAAGAAAAATATTTATTTATTTATTTTTATCCTCACCCAAGGACATTTTTGCATTCATCTTTTTTTTTTTTATCCTCACCCGAGGACATTTTTCGATATTTTGTTCAGATAGAGTGAGTGGGAGAGAGAGAGAGAGAAACATCGACGTGAAAGCGACACATCGAGTGGTTGCCACCCACACGACCCAACCAGGGCCAGGGACAAACTGCAACCAAGGCACATGCCCCCAGCAGGAACCGAACCCGGGTCTCTCTGGACCGCAGGCCGACGCTCCAACCGCTGAGCCAAACCGGCCAGGGCAGCATTCATCTTCAAATAGAGCGAGAGGGAGAGAGGAAGGAAGAGAGAGAGAGAGAAACATTGATGTGAGAGAGACACATCAACTGGATGCCACCCACACATCCCCTACCAGGGCCGGGGACAAACTGACACTGAGGTGCGTGCCCTTAGTGGGAACCGAGCCCAGGACTCTCTGGACCGCGGGCCAACACTCTAACTGCTGAGCCAAATCAGCCAGGGCTAAAGAACAAATATTTAAAACAACCAGTGACCTCTTAGTGCATGGGTCGACGCTCAACCACTGAGCCACACGGGCCGGGTGTACCACAGCTTTTTTATCCACTCATCTACTGATGGACACTTGGGCTGCTACCAAATATTGGCTAGTGTGAATAATGCTGCAATGAACATAGGGGTACACATATTCTTTTGAACTAGTGTTTTGCATTTTTTTGGATAAATTCCCAGAAGTGGAATCGCTGGGTCATGAGGAAATTCCATTTTTTATTTTTGAGGTAACTCCATATTGCTTTCCACAGTAACTGCACCAACCACCTGCATTCCCACCAACAGTGCATGAAGGTTCCCTTTTCTCCACACCCTTGCCAACACTTGTTGTTTGTTGATTTATTGATGATTGCTATTCTGATAGGTGTGAGGTGATATCTCATTGTGGTGAGTCTTTTTTTTTTTTTTTTTTTTTTAAATCCTCACCTGAGAATATTTTTCCATTTATCTTCAGATGGAGTGGGAGGGAGGGAGAGACAAACATTGATGTGAGAGAGTCACATTGACTGGTTGCCTCCTGCACAACCCCAACCAGGGCCAGGGACGAACCATAACTGAGGTACACGCCCTTGATCAGAACTGAACCGGCGACTCATTGGTTAGAGGCCTAACACTCTTAACTGCTGAGTCAAACCGGCCAGGGCAGTGGTTGTTTTGTTTGTTTTTTTTATCCTCACCCAGGGACATTTTTTTTTTTTTTTTTTGCATTTATCTTCGGATAGAGCAGGAGGGAGACAGGGAGGAAGAGAGAGAGAGAGAAACATCGACTTGAGAGAGACACATCGAATGGTCACCACCCACACGACCCCAATAGCGGTCGGGAACAAACCTCAACTGAGGCATGCGCCCCTAGGGAGAACCGAACCCAGGACTCTCTGGTCTGCGGGCCAATGCTGTAACTGCCCAGCCAAACTGGCCAGGGCTGGTTGTTTCTTTTTAAATCCTCACCTGAGGACATGCTTAGAGGGAGAGAGAGAAACATCAATGCAATAGAGAAACATTGATTGAGTGCCTTCCATACACTCCCTGACTCGGGATCGAACCCACAACCCAGGTATGTGCCCTGACTGGGAATCAAACTGGCAACCTTTTGGTGTATGGGACGATGCTCAACCAACTGAGCCACCCTGGCAGGGCTCATTGTGTTTTGTTTTGTTTTGTTTTATCCTCACCTGAGGACATTTTTCCACTTTTTGTTCAGAGTGGGAGGGAGAGAGAGGGAGAGAGAGGGAGAAACATCGACGTGAAAGGGACACATCGAGTGGCTGCCACCCACACGACCCAACCAGGGCAAGGGACAAACCGCAACCGAAGTATATGCCCTTAGCGGGAATCAAACCAGGATCTCTCTGGACTGCAGGCCAACGCTCTAACCTCTGAGCCAAACCGGCCAGGGCTCATTGTGATTTTAATTTGCATTTCTCTAATGATTAGTGACCTTGAGCATCTTTTCATGTCTATTAGCCATCTGTATGTACTCTTTTAGAGAACTGTCTATTTAGGTCCTTTGCCCATTTTTCAATTGGATTGGTTTTGTTTTATTTTGGTGTTGAGTTTTATAAATTCTTTTTTTTTTTTTTTTTGCATTTGTCTTTAGATAGAGTGAGAGGGAGAGAGGGAGAAAGAGAGAGGGAGAAACATTGGTGTGAGAGAGACATATCGACTGACTGCCATCCACATGACCCCAACTGGGACCGGGGACAAACTGCAACCAAGGTATGCGTGCCCTTAGTGGGATCTGAACCCGGGTCTTTCTGGACCTCGGCCTGAAGCTCTAAACGCTGAGCCAAACTGGCCAGGGCAAGTATTATAAATTCTTTATAAATTTTGGTGATTAACCTCTTATCAGATATATTGGTGAATGTGTTCTCCCATTCAGTGGATTGTCGTTTTATTTTATTGATGGTTTCCATTGCTGTGCAACAAGTTTTTAGTTTAATGTAGTCCCATTTGTTTATTTTTCCTTCTGTTTCAAAGGGGACATAGATTGATGATTGTATTGCACGCTTGGATCTGTAGTCCCTTGTAGAGATTTGCAATGCATGCTGAAGTTTGCTTTGGATTGGTCAGTAATTTGTGGATGTTTAGATTTTTTGTTGTTGTTAATCCTCACTCGGGGATCTTTTTCCATTGATTGTTAGATAGAGTGGATGGTGGGGTGGGGGGAGATAGAAACATTGATGTGAGAGAGACACATGGATTGTTTGTCTCCTGCACGACCCCAACTGGGGCCTGTGATCAAACCTGCAACCCAGGTTCATGCCCTTGACAAAGAATCGAATTCTTGACCCGTTGGTCTGTGGACCTTTGCTCTAACCACTGAGCAAAACCAGCCAGGGCTGGATGTTTGGATTTTACAGATCTGCCCTGCCACTCCCCATCACTTCTCCTGGATGAATAAGGTTACTATGTTTTTATTTGGGTCCATAAGACATTAATAAGTATCTATCACCATCACACTCTAATAAAAAAATTTAATACATACACATAAGGAAGGATATAGTCCCAGAACAAAGGGAAATAATTTAAGTTGCATAAAATTTGCCTTTTAGGAAAAAAAAAGTACATTTTCTTTGCTTTTTGCATTTTTTCCTGGATAGGTGTAAACTTTGCAATAGGCTAACATTTGTGTGAAGAATGGCATTTGGAATTACTGGTACAGAATTGACACTGATAAATGAGAATATGGGGTGAAGAGAGGTTATGTGTCACTGCTTTCAAATGAGCTCAGTGCATTTTTCTCTAGGTTGTTTCCTCCCTGCTTCAGGTTGCAGGAACCCTTTTAGTCAATAGCACTGGTAGTCAGGACTCCCTTCTATCCCTGTCTCTTGGAATTTCTTAAAGATCATTGAGTGTAAGGCAGTACTTTAAAAAAAGTTATTGTAAACAGGAAAATAATTCCCAACCCAGTGCCTTAGGAATTAAAAATTCTCTCAGTTAAGAAAGAGAGTCAAGGTAATGGGGAAGAGCAGGCCCATGCTAGATAATGAATACTGGTGTTCTTCAAGGCAATCTGCACATATCTGCCTAAAACACAACAAAGAGATTGTCATCACTAAAAACATTGATTAAATAATTATTGTTTTAAATATATTTTTATTTATTTTCAAATGTTAAAAAAATTTTTTTTCTTTATTGATTTTAGAAAGAGAGGAAGGGAGAGGGAGAGAGAGACAGAACCATCAATGAGAGAATATCGACTGGCCACATCCTGCATGCCCCCCACTGGGGATCAGGCCCACAAGCTGGGCATGCGCCCTGACCAGGAATTGAACCAGTGACCTCTTGGTGCATGGGTCGACGCTCAACCACTGAGCCACACCAGCTGGGCTTTAAATGTTTTATATTGATTTTTTTAGAGAGAGAAGAAGGGAGAGAGAGAGATAGAAACATCCATGTGAGAGAGAAACATGAATCGGCTATCTATTACATGCACCCCACCAGGGATTAAGCCCAAAACCTTGGTATGTGCCCTGACTGGGAATCCAAGGGGGACCTCCTAGTCCATGGGATGGCGATCAATCCACTGAGCCATACTGGCTGGGCTAAATAATTATCATTTTATTTTATTTTATTATTATTTTTTATCCTCACCTGAGGACATTTTTTGATATTTTGTTCAGATAGAGTGGGAAGGAGGGAGGGAGGGAGGGAGGGAGAGAGAGAGCGAGAGAGAGAGAGAGAGAAACATTGACATGGAAGGGACACATGGAGTGGTCGCCACCCACACGACCCAACCAGGGCCAGGAACAAACCACAACCGAGGTACATGCCCTCAGCTGGAACTGAACCCGGCTCTCTCCAGACCTCAGGCCGACACTCTAACCACTGAGCACATCAGCCAGGGCTAAATAATTATCATTTTAAAAATTGATCCTAGCCTGGCCCGTGTGGCTCAGTGGTTGAACATCAACCTATGCACCAAGAGGTCGCCAGTTCGGTTCCCAGTCAGGGCACATGCTCAGGTTGTGGGTTCAATCCCCAGTGTGGGCAGGCAGGAAGCAGCCAATCGATGTTGTTGTTCTCTCATTGATGTTCTCTCTCATTGATGTTTCTCTCTCTCCCTCCCTCCCTCTCCCTTCCTCTGTCTCTAAAATCAATAAAGAAAAAAAATTAAATAAAAATAAAAATTGATTCTAGTATACCTAGTTCTGTTACTTTCTGACAGAACTCCAAAATAGGTATTTTGACATATGACGGTATGTCTGCATTTGGCGGTATGTCAGTCAATACGGTCAATGGACATTCAAAGATGTAGGAAACATTCAAATTTATAATCTATCAAAACTAATGTCACATGACAAATGAATCAATACTGCCAGATGTATGTTTAAATCCTTGTTAGCATTTGTGTCAGCAAACCAGTAACAAGTCCTTTGTGGACGAACTTCCCAGTGCTTTCGTGGGACCCTAGCACCTCAGAAGAAGGATGCCTACATCTCTCTATTTAAACTAGGGTTCCTCTTAACACTAGAGGGAGGCCAAGAGCTTTGGGAAGCTTCCAACATAGGGAAAGAGAGGCGGGACCTATTGCCAAGTCACGCCGTTTCCGTGAGTGGCACGGACATTAGCCAATGGATTCCGGGATAGGGCGCGCCGGCGCCCCGCCCCCTTGAGCGGCCCGCGGCCCCCGAGGCACCCTCTGGCCCGCTCTGCGGCGGCGACGGCCTGGGCGGACGGTTCGCCGTGCGCAGGCGCGGAGCTTAGACCTCGCTGCAGCCCCCAACGCCTCGGGGAGTTGCACCTACGGGGTCTGCCCGCTGGCGTGTCAGTGCTCTCGGGTTCGTCCGCCCTCCCGGGTCCTCCCAGCGCCTTACGCGCCGGGATGGCGGAGCTGCGGCCTAGCGGCGCCCCCGGCCCCACCGCGCCCCCAGCCCCTGGCCCTGCTGCTCCGCCGGCCTTCGCTTCGCTCTTCCCCCCGGGACTGCACGCCATCTACGGAGAGTGCCGCCGTCTTTACCCTGACCAGCCGAATCCGCTCCAGGTTACAGCTATCGTGAAGTACTGGTATGCCCTGGGCCGCGGGGAGAGCGACGCGGCGGGCTTGGAAGAGTTTAAGCACCCGGGGCGAAGTAATTTGCGGGGGAGGAGGGGGAGAAGGAGAATGGTTAAAGCACTTGTAAGGAGGGCTTCCTGCTGCGAGGGAAGGAGTTAAGGCTCTGGTTGGGAATGGGGACAAAGGGGTTAACGAAGACTGTGGGTAGCGAAGGGTTAACGAGGGTGGGGAGGTTGAAGGGTTAACTGGGATTAGGAGAACTGAGTGAATTGGGGGGGGGTGTAGGAGTCGAGCGAGAATCGATAGGAGAGAGGGAACTGTAAACGTGGTGAAAGGAGGGGGCGCCTATAGGGGGTCATTAGTGGGCGAGGGCAAGCCAGGAGGGGGGTGCGGCTGAGCTGGGACCGGGGGAGGCGAGGCGGGGCCTGGGGAGCATTTGAGAAGGCTTCGGAGGAGTGTGGCTGGAGAAGCTCCGAGGGCACGAGACTGGGTGGAGGCGGGATTGGGGACCTGGGCTCCGATGTAGGAGCGGAGCAAGTTGTGAGTGTCGTGCCTGTGAAGAGAAGAGGTCACCCTTTTGATACTTTCCTATTGAAAGTAATCGTATCAGTGCAATGCTTTTGTGTTCGAAGTTTCACGAAACAACTTTTCCTGATAAACTTTCTGCTTACTCTTCTCAGTTCTTTTTCGCGCAGAGCTTCCTCTAGCTCTGCAGCTGCTTTGCTTTAAGACATTGGCTATAACAGAGGCAGGGGTCAGGGAGATCCATGGTATGGCTGAGGATGGAAGGGGGACCACAGTAAATATTGAAGACCTGGAACTTGGACACGGTGGAAAGAAGGCAGTGAGCTGTTGAGGAGCTTCCTAGCCACAAGCTTCAGGATTTAGGCAGCAGTTTCTCAGGGAAGCTGAGAGTAACCCTCAAATAGCTCTCTTTGTTAAGGATCAGACCTGTCCTTGGGGTAGGATTGGTCTTTTCTAGTTTCCCATTCCTGTTTGCAATCTGTTTCATCCTGCAGCCTCTGGGCAAAACTGGAGTTATGGGGACTGTGGAAAAGAAAAAGGCTATCTTCATGGTTTTTCAGGACCAAAAGTTGACTGAGAAATTGGTTGAATCTGTCCAGAACCACATTCTTGCAGGCACTGGGTTAGATGGCCCCTTCATTGAGGCCTGAAAGACTATTTAGGCAGCTGTTTGGGCTGTGGCCAAAGAGGCAGGTAGATCTGAAGGGCCAAGTGAGTGGATGTCTTTTCTGGTTACCTCTCCCTTTGGGATTGAGTCTTTCTCCTCCAGGACAATGTCTTACTTCTTTCAGAAATGGCAGAAGCGCCCTAGCCGATTTGGCTCAGAGGTTAGAGCGTCAGCCTGCGGTCCGGAGAGACCTGGGTTCGGTTCCCGCTAAGGGCACGTACGTCGGTTGCAGTTTGTCCCCGGCTCTGGTTAGGTCGTGCGGGTGGCAGCCACTCGATGTGTCCCTTTCACGTCGATGTTTCTCTCTCTTTCTCCCCCTCCCACTCTATCTGAACAAAATATGGAAAAATGTTCTCGGGTGAGGATAAAAGAAATGGCAGAAGCTAGGCTCTGTAGCTTCTGAGACCAGCACCCTGGGTTGATGGGAGCATGTGAAGAGGCTGACAGTGTGGAGGACCAGCCACCTGCTCCTTAGGGAAGACCATGTTGGAGCACCCTGCCTGTGTCCGGTAGCCAGGAGGAGGTGTGGCCACTGGTACAATTCTTTCTGGCAAGCAAACTGTTCTTTGGTTGAGAGGAGTTTTTGAAGAGAGCTTCTGAATGAAAAGCAGCTCTTGATAACTTAATCCCCATTCTAATTGCACTTGTATGCTTAAATATGTATTGTGATGAACTCTATTAGATTGTGTCATGAGAAAAGCGGGCCTGGCTCTGCCATGCTGTTTGTTAAGGTCTCATTTGAGTGTAAGGAGAAATTCCTACAAAGACTTGGGCAACTGTTTTTGTCACCAAGTGGCCATGAAGGATAGCGTTGTGTGTAAAAGGTATTAAAAAGCACAGGCAAAGGACTAAGACTGGTTTGGGCAACTTTTTGTTTCCTTCCTGCTGCAAGCTTGTTAACCAGGCAGGACTTATCTTCAGAGATGGACTAATATGTAATGATGAAAAAAGATGATTGTATAGAACTCTGTGAAATTAGAAATGCTACTTAGATGCAGAAAAATATAAGAGAGAACTGCTCAGTTACTAGTTCTTTCTAAGATTTGAAGGATTTTACACTAATAAGATCCTGAAATTAGCCTGACTGGTGTGGCCCAGTGGATTGAATGTCATCCCATGGACTGAGAGGTCCCCGTTGGATGGATTCCCAGTCAGGGCACATACCCAGGTTTCAGGCTTGATCCCCAGTAGGGAACATGCAGAGGCATCCTATAGATGTTTCTCTCTCACATTGATGTTTCTATCTCTCTCCCTCTTCCTTTCTCTCTCTCTTTTTAAAAAAAATCCTCACCCGAAGATATTTTTCCATTGACTTTCAGATAGAGTGGGAGGGAGGGAGAGAAACATTGATTGGCTGCCTCCCCTACTACCCTGACCAGGGCTGGGGACCGAACTGCAACTGAGGTACACATCCTTGACTGGAGTCAAACCTGCAGCTCTTTGGTCCATGGGCCAGCGCTCTAACTGCTGAACCAAACTAGCCAGGGCCCTTCCTCTCTCTCTCTCTTTTTTTTTTATCCTCACCCAAGGACACTTATACGTTTATCTTCAGATACAGCGGGAAGGAGAGAGGGAGGAAGAGAGAGAGAGAAACATCGACGTGTGAGAGAGACATTGAGTGGCTGCCACCCACATGACCCCAACCAAGGCTAGGGACAAACCACAACCGAGGTACATGCCCTTAGCGGGAACCGAACCTGGGACTCTCTGGTCCATGGGCGGATGCTCTAACCGCTGAACCAAACTGGCCAGGGCAGCCCTTCCTCTCTCTTAAAAAAAAAAAAATCCTGAAATTAGTTCATGGATTTCTCTCACATTTGGGATTCCGCAAGGCCTCCTCAGTTCTCATAGCAGAATGACTGACTGGGGCTGTCTGGGTCTGGCTGTGGCCTGAGGTACCTTGGGATTCCTTTTCTTGGTACAGAAGGATGGCTCTTTGTCTAGGACCCTGGTCAGCAAGGACATCCTGGCTGAAAGCTGAGACTTAAGTAAGCAGGGATCAGAAGCAGAGGGGGAGAGCCTGTGCTCTGGGACCACTCCAGTCCTGCAGTTGCCCTGGAGAGTGAAGTCAAGTGTTCAAGGAATTAAGTTGAGGGATGCTTTGGGTCCTTGGATAACATCTTTTTCTAAGTGCAAAATATGAAAAATTTCTACATAGTCATCTGCTTCTCATCAGATCTCTGAGTAAGTAGAACATAACTCGGTGCTCAGGGATGAGGTTCATTTGGTCTGACTCTTGGACATTCCCTGCATGCAGTTTGAGTTTTAAGGTTAAGTCTTTCCTTGGTACAATACTTCCTGGGAAACTTGGCAGAAAGAGGGTTGCAGTGGAGTGGCAGATGTAGCATGGAACTGTGGATGTAAATTTGCCTCTTGTTGCTGAGTGGACCAAGGCTGAAGGAGGGGCAGGACTGGGAATTTGCAGCAAGACACTGGAGCCAACATGGAGCCTGTAGTCACTTCCATTTGTTCCTGGGCTCTGCAGCTATCATGGGGTCCTTTCAGAAATAGCTACCCTTTTCTTTCCTCCATTCCCCAACAAGTCCTAAATCCATTTTGTTGTGGAATTAGTCAAATGATTTGGCAAAATTCAAGTTAAGGAAAGATATGGAGATTTGTCCTTTTTCCTAATCCACTCAACTGAGATTCTAAGCTGTTTGTAGCTACTTTCTTCTTTTTTTATCTTCACCCGAGGACAGTTTTTCCATTTTTTGTTCAGATAGAGTGGGAGGGAGAGCGAGGACATGAGAGAGAGAGAGAAACATTGATGTGAGAGGGACACATCAAGTAGCTGCCTCCTTCATGACCCCAACCAGGGCCAGGGATGAACCACAACTGAGATAGGTGCCCTTGACCAGAATCGAACCTGCGACTCATTGGTCCTCGGGCCGATGCTCTAACCTCTGAGCCAAACCGGCCAAGGCTGTAGCTACTTTCTTTTTTTTTTTATCCTCACCCGAGGACATTTTTCCATTTTTTGTTCAGATAGAGCGGGAGGGAGAGAGAGAGAGAAAAAAAACATCGATGCGAAGGGACACATCGAGTGTCTGCCACCCGCACGACCAACCAGGGCCGGGTACAAACTGCAACCGAGGTACATGCCCTTAGCGGGAACCGAACCCGGGTCTCTCTGTACCGCAGGCCGACGCTCAACTGCTGAGCCAAACTAGCCAGGACTATAGCTACTTTCTTAATAAATAAATAAATAACTTCTATAAATAACTTGGCATTACGCCCTGGCTGGTTTGGCTCAGCGGTTAGAGCATCGGCCTGCGGTCCAGAGAGACCCAGGTTCAGTTCCCGCTAAGGGCACATATCTCGGTTGCAGTTTGTCCCTGGCCTTGGTTGGGTTGTGCCGGTGGCAGCCACTTGATGTGTACCTTTCATGTTGATGTTTCTCTCTCTCTCTTTCTTCCTCTCCCTCCCTCCCTCCCACTCTATCTGAACAGAAAATGGAAAAATGTCCTTGGGTGAGGGTTAAAAAAAATAATAATAATAATAAAAATAACTTAGCATTTCCTAGCAGAGAATAAGGATTTTTACAGAAAGCAAATAATATCCTGGCAAAAAAGGATGAAACCATATCTACTGGTTTTAAATAGTGTTTTAATTGCATGGTGCTGGCATGCTTGCTGGGATCACACCGAACATGTTTTTATTTGGTTGTTAGTGTTCCTTTAGCAATCCCACTTGCAAAGTGCACACCTTCAGAGTGTCCCAGGAGCAGTAAAGTTTTTTCACTCTGTGGAATAGTCAGATATCTGAGGCAGCTCAAATGCAGTGTTTGTGGGCTAAATGCAGACTTACTTCTACTGGTGGTTTTCATTTCGTCTGTTTCTCAAGTCTACCAGTTTCCCATTGTCCATTCTGAAGAAAAGTAGGATTTTTTAAAAAAGAGCACTAATTACTAAAGAGAACTCTTTTTTCTTTCTTTCTTTCTTTTTTTTTTTTTTTTTGTGGTACATGCCCCTAGCGGGAATCGAACCCATGATTCTCTGGTCTGCGGGCCGACGCTCAACCACTGAGCCAAACTGGCCAGGGCTAAGGAGAACTCTTATTGAATTAAATCCTCAGAATGAGGTAATGACTGAATCTTTTTCTCAGCTGCCTCTCTGTTGGAATTATGCAGTAAGTTTAGTGTGGTCCTCAGAGGCCCCAGATAATTTAATGTCCCAGCTCTATCTTTGAGATGGTAGTCTCCTGGGATCATCTTCCAGATTCCGGAGCTCACAGGGCTCAGCCTGGCTTCTACAGTTATCTTTATCTGTGCAGAGCTAAGTTAGCCTAAGTGTGGCCTTTGTTACTTGCATGATAACAGGTCAGCTTTGGGCCATGGTCAGTGTGGCTCAGTTGGTAGGTATGTTGTCCCATACACCGAAAGGTCTTGGGTTCAATTCCTGGTCAGAGCACATGCCTAGGTTTTGGGTTTGATCCCCAGGCCTGGTTTCTTTCTCTTTCTCTGTCTGTCTCCCTTTCCCTCTCTCTAGAAATTGATGAAGTATGTCCTTATATAAGGATTAAAAAAAAGACCAGCTTTGGTCTGTGGGGTGTGGGCATGGGTCTGGAGGCATTGGGTTTGTTTAGAACAAACTAATTAACATAGGGCACAATGTAGTCTTTCAGGAGTTAGATGTCTAAGAGGCAAGAGTGGAGCTGAGCCTCTGCTTCCAGGAACAATACCCACTGGAAATGCTTAGAATAGTCTTTCAACAAAGGCCAATAGATTGACTGATGCACCTCTTGCCTTGAAGCATGCCATATTTACAGGCACCATGGAATAGAGATAATCCCTGCGAATCCCATTTAGGATTGGTAATTTGAAACAGTAGGAAGCAAAAGAGGCAACCATCCAGTCTGTTTTATTTCTAAGAGGGGTCCTACCTGTTGGGGATAGGAGAAAGGAGCCTCTAGCCACCCATCTTTTGGTTTTATCCCAGAGAGGTGTGGCCTCCCTTTAGTTATCTTTCACCTCTTGTTTGGGGCATTTTATTTTATTTTTTTTTAAACTTTCTTATTTTTTTTTATCCTCACCGGAGGACATTTTTCCATTTTTTGTTCAGGTAGAGTGGGAGGGAGAGAGAGGAACAGAGAGAGAAAGAGAAACATCGACGTGAAAGAAACACATCGAGTGGCTGCCACCCGCACGACCGACCAGGGCCGGGGACAAACTGCAACCGAGGCACGTGCCTTTAGCGGGAACCGAACCCGGGTCTCTCTGGACCGCAGGCCGACGCTCTAACCGCTGAGCCAAACCGGCCAGGGCTTATTTTTTTTTTAATCCTCATCCGAGGACGTTTTTCCATTTTTTGTTCAGATAGAGTGGGAGGGAGGGAGAGAGAGAAGCATCAACGTGAAAGGGACACATCGAGTGGCTGCCACCCACACAACCCAACCAGGGCCGGGGACAAACCGCAACCGAGGTACATGCTCTTAGCGGGAACTGAACCCCGGTCTCTCTGGACCGAAGGCCAATGCTCTAACTGCTGAGCCAAACCGGCCAGGGCCAGTTTGGGGCATTTTAGTTTGTAAGGCAGAACCTCTTAGCTTCACACTGTCTGCTTTCAGGCTCACACTGACATTTCTGTGTTTTGTCTTTTGCAGGTTGGGTGGCCCAGATCCCTTGGACTATGTTAGCATGTACAGGAATGTGGGGAGCCCATCTGCCAACATCCCCGAGCACTGGCACTACATCAGCTTCGGCCTAAGCGATCTCTATGGTGACAACAGAGTTCATGAGTGAGTGTGTGCCACTTGCTCACCCTTCACCTGCCTGTTTCTTAGCCTTGAGCCTTTTTTTCTGAGGTTTTTTTCCTTGCAGGGGTAATGATGTCATAGCCCTGTGGGGTTGATTTTTCTATTCTTTGCCTGTATCTACTTGTGTCAATGTGGTCCAGGTCAGCACCTGAGCTCTGCTTATCTGTTGCAGGAATGTGTCATTGATGAGTTCTAAAATTATCAGGTTTTTCCAAGCTTGCTCTGATGTTTGAGCTCAGAGGACAGGCAGCATAGCTATGACTGGAACTTGTGTTGATGCTTTTAAGTCTGCTTTTTTTTCCCCTGCTAATTTATTATGAAAAATTTTAAACTTAAAGCAAAGTTGAAAGAATTTTATATTGAACACTCATATACCTACTACCTAGATTCTACCATTAACATTTTACTCTGTTTGCTTTATCACAAAAATATCTACCTCTGTGTCTATCTCTGTCCCTCCATCCATCTGCTTCCTCTTAATCTGCAGTTATCTGTGCTCAGATTAGCCAGAGTACATTTTTTTTTTGGTACTTGCCCCTAGCTGCTAGGCCTCGCAGGAACTGAACCTGGGACTCTCTGGTCTGCAGGCTGATGCTCCAACTGCTGAGCCAAACCGGTCAGGGCCACAGCACATTTTTTTATCCTGGGGCGGGGGCTGTCTTCCTGCTGCCCTGTATACTTCTAAATCCTAGCCCTGGCCATTTTGGCTTAGCGGTTGGAGCGTTGACCTGCAGACCAGAGAGTCCCAGGTTCGGTTCCCGCTAGGGGCAAGTACAAAAAAAAAAAAGCTTAAATCTTACTTGCCTCCCTTATTTCCCTCTATAATCTCCAAATTTAAACAAATTTTAATGTTAAGTTAAACATAATCAACTTAGTATTAAATCAGTTAAAACAACAATAGTAATAATAGTAAAAGCTAACATTTACTAAGCATTGATTATGAGCCAGGCATTCTTCTAATCACTTTATGTGTGTATATATATTAACTAATTTTATTTTCGCCATGACTGTATAATGCCGGTATAGGCACTAATGTTTGCCTCATAACTTGCTTAAGGTCACACAGCTTGGAAGTGGTATAACCAGGATACTAATGCAGGCAGTCTGGCTCCACAGTCCATACTCTTATGACTGTGCTCTTTTGCCTTTTTTTTTAAAATCCTCACCTGAGGACATTTTTGCATTCATCTTCAGATAGAGCGGGAGGGAGAAGGAGGAAGAGAAAGAGAGAAACATTGATGTGAGAGAGACACATAGACTGGCTGCTACCCACATGACCCCAACCGGGGCTGGGGACAAACTGCAACCCAGGTACATGCCCTTAGCAGGAACTGAACCTGGGTCTCTTTGGTCTGCGGGCTGACACTCTAACCGCTGAGCCAAACTGGCCAGGGCTCTACTCTATTGCCTCTTTTTTTTTATCCTCACCCGAGAACATTTTTGCATTTATCTTCAGATAGAGCGGGAGGGAAGGAGGGAGGAAGAGAGAGGGAAACATCGATGTGAGAGAGACACGTTAACCAGCTACCACCCACACGACCCCATCCGGGGACGGGGACGAACCGCAACTTAGGCACATGCCTCTAGCGGGAACTGAACCCAGGACTCTCGGGTCCGTGGACCGACACTCTAACTGTTAAGCCAAACCGGCCAGGGCATCTGTTGCCTCTTAAACAATTACATCATCTACTCTAATAAGCTACTCTCTCTAAGTTTTAAAAAACATTTGTTTTCATCTATACTCTTTTGAGGGAGAGGTTCTTTTCTTCAATTTAAATGCCGTCTTTCCTCCCCCTCATTAGCATGATTAATCAAGAGTTGGCTCTATTTCTATTATCATATCCTCTTTTTTGCTTTCATGCTATTTTTTGCCTCTTAAACTATCTTTTTAGTGTATTGGTGGTGGCTGCTTAGTGTGTGTAGGTTGAAAGAAAGAACCTATTTTTTCAATAGGTTGAAAAAATAGAATACCAGGGCTCTTTCTGCCTCAGCATTAGAGGCTGATTCTGGAGATAATGGTGATACGATGATGAAGAAGATGATAATAGTCTTTATTGTTTTGCTTTGTTTACTTCTTACTATCCTTCATATCATTGTGTCCAATGCTTTACAATTTTATTAGGTTCTTTTGTTCTCACTTGACATTTTTTTCATTTTTTGTTCAGATAGAGTGGGAGGGAGAGAGAGGAAGAGAGAGAGAGAGAGAAACATCGATGTGAAAGGGACACATCGAGTGTCTGCCACCCGCATGACCCAACCAGGGCCGGGGACAAACTGCAACCGAGATACGTGCCCTTAGCGGGAACCGAACCCGGGTCTCTCTGGACCGCAGGCCGACGCTCTAACCGCTGAGCCAAACCGGCCAGGGCTAAATTTATACTCTTAACAAGAACCTGCAGAAGGTATTTAGTGCAACTACCCTGTATCATTTTGTTGACACATTTATAATAGTTAAAAGAATGCTTTTTCCTATATGGCTTAAAGATTCTTACAGTCTACCTGCTTATCAGGTAGGAATCCAAGGCCCAAAATGATATAAAGAACATAATTGAGAAAGCTCCATATTTCAGAAGGGGTAACCTCAATTTGAAAGAGGGTCTTCCTTACTGTTTTTCCTAGTTTAACAGTACCCTTGTACATGTGTGTCATTTCTATATTTCTAAAGCACTTTGATATTCATGTCATTTATGACAATAGTGAGACCTTCATTGGGCTTTCACCTCACCACTCAAACCTAGTGTTTTCTGGTATTATATCCTGCCACTAAAAGGACATGGGTGGGATGTTCTTGGCTCTGTTCTGGTCTATATTGCAGAATTTAGTTAAAAGTACCTTTGTAATTGGCCTTGTGCTGGTGTGACTGGTCTCTTCTCAATTCTGGTAAGTTTCTTGGAGAAAAGTTTGCTTTTTCCAAACATTTCATGTAGTGAGGCCTCTTTGAAATAGATTCATGGGTTCTTATTTAGGGCTTGAAGCTGAGGTCAGAAAAGTGAATCTTTTGTCTTCTAGCATAAATGCTAAGAGATGTTAAATTGGAATTCTGGAAAGTGAATTTCTGTCAACGATGTCTTTCTTCCACTGTCTTTTGTTTTTTCATTCAGTAAAAAGAAAAGCCAGAAGCATTGGTTCATTTATTCAGCATATAGTCATTAAGCACCTATTTTGCAGTGGATACAGAACATCATAATAGATGTGTTGGGAATAAAATGCCAAAACATAATTCCTGTCTCACACTCATGTTCTTGAGGGGAAATAAGTTTAAAGAGATGGCTATAGTACTGAGTAATAAAAGCTACAATCCATGGATGTAGAGCATGCACTGGAAGCAGAGTAGAGCGAATAACTGTTAGTCAGGCTGCTGGATCAGAAGAAGCTGCAGGGAAGAGGTGAAGTTTGAGAGGAATCTTGTAAGAAGGGGGTTGGAGTAAGGTATGCACCTGACACTTTCGGACACCAATATTCACTTTTAGGACTGAGAGAGGCTTTAAAAATCTTTTAGCCCCATGTTTCCCAAACTTCTAGTGCCACCTACATAATTTTTGTCACCTATAGTATATTATCTACTGTATGTTCTCTTTAATCCTCATTTTAAAAATTGATATAACAGTTGTAGTTTGTCCTCGGCCCTGGTTGGGGTTGTGCAGAAGGGCAACCAGTTGACGTGTCCCTCTCATGTCCTTGTGTGTTTCTCTCTCTCCCTCTCCCTCCTACTCTTATCTGAAGATAAATGGAAAAATATCCTCAGGTGAGGATTAAAATAAATAAAAAATAAATAGATAAAAACTTATATAAATTTTAAAAAGTTAAATCACTATTATATATGGAAACTAGTATCACTTGCTGTAATTTAAAGGTAATTGTGGAAATTAACATGAAATAACAAAGCAGTGTTATGTTTTTTTTCAATTAAACTTTTTTTCTTTATTGATTTTAGAGAGAGAGAGGAAGGGGGCAGAGAGAGAGAGAGAGAGAGAGAGAGAGAGAGAGAGAGAGAGAACCATCAATGAGAGAGAACATTGATCGGCCACTTCCTACATGCCTCCCACCTGGGGATTTGGCCCACAACCTGGCCATGTGCCCTGACTGGGAATTGAACTGACGCTCTCTTGGTGTATGGGTCAACGCTCAACCACTGAGTCACATCGGCCAGGCAGCAGTGTTAAGTTCTTGCTTAATACTTTGGCCTATCACAGAAATTTCTAAGCCTGAAGCCACCTTTCTCTTTGTTCAAGAGATTAGCAAGAAGTATGAGAGACATTAAGTGGGCCCAGGCCTGGCACTAGAAGCAGCCAGCCTTGGTTCACAACTTGGCTTTTCCTGGGTACTTCCAAGCCCAGCACAAGAAGCAACCATCTGCAGATCACTTAGTAGCTTATGCCAAGTGGCCCTGGGTAGAACACAGGCAGAGGCTGACTTTGCACCAGAGCCAGCACACCCAGTGGGCAGCTTCAGACCACATTGAAGCACCACCACCCAACCACCTTCACAAGTGACATATTCAATGAGTGGACTCAGTGGGTACCAGAGCCCTGCTGAAGTAAGTCTTGCTCTGTGTGTTGGCCCCCTACACTGCTGATCCTCCATGGGAGGCAGAGGCCAGTGGTCAGTGGGCACAGTTCTTGCAGCTGATTAACCTGAGTAAATCCCTTTCAGTGACCTGCCAAAAGCAATCATGACTCAATTACAACAGAATGGTGTACAGTCCACACTGGGGGTGCACCTCGAGGGCTCAGCTGGGGTGATCAGGGAGGCTGTGCCACTGGACCCTATAGGAGGACACCTACAATAATAGGCCACCCTATGAAGCCTAGGAGACATAGCAACTCTACCTAATACATAGAAACAAACAGGGAAGGAGCTAAAATGAGGAGGCAAAAAAACATGTCCCAAGTGAAAGAACAGAACAAAATTCCAGGAAAAGAACTAAACAAAATGGAGATAAGCAATCAATCAGATGCAGAGTTCAAAACACTGGTTATAAG